TGTAACTATTACAGCTTTGTGCTCAGTACTAGCGATATGTACGGTTACTAGCGCGATAGGTTCTGGTTACTAGGGCGGTTACTAGTTACCGGTTACTAGGGCGATAAGTACTGGGTTAGTGGTTACTAGGGCGGTTACTAGTTACTAGGGCGATAGGTACCGGTTACTAGCGCGGTTACTAGTTACCGGTTACTAGCGCGATAGGTACTGGTTACTAGGGCGGTTACTAGTTACCGGTTACTAGCGCGATAGGTACTGGTTACTAGTTACTAGCGCGATAGGTACTGGTTAGGTTTTTTTGATCCACCCTTCAAATTCAGACTTACTAACCCCAAATGGTGCTACCTGGTGTCGAGTTCAAATACCGAGCAACACGTCCCACGTGACCCCTACTAATAGCCTAGTGAGCACTGCTTAGTTTCCGAAAACGACTAATTCGCGTGCATGGTTATATATCACGGCACTTAAGTTCTGCTTTTACGTATCAGAAATGCTTGTCATACTTAGAGTAAGGAGCTCATCTCGTGGTTAAACTGCGAGTAAAGAAGTTCTCACCGTAATTACTTCTTTGTAAACGCAGGCCAGAGATTTCGTAATGGTTTAGTCACGTTTTGCGACAGCCAGGAACCAGTGCCGGCTTGAGAAAAAAATGCGGAACGTAGATTAGTTACGACTAGGAGTATTGATTAGGGAGTCAAGTAGATTGTAAACTAAGCTACCCAGCACATCTTGGTGAAATTAAGTGCTTTGCACTGACATTTCAAGCGCAACTGCAATAGCAAATAACTTACTTTTGACAATTGAAGTTTGACATTCCATTCCGATACAATTCTACAGAATTGGCCGATCTTACTTGATGAATCCAATCTAGTTGCTAATAAAGCTTACTACCGTGCTGATGAGTATCGCTGAGTATCGCTCACTTGCTCTGCTAGATCAGTAGATTACGACCAAAGACCTCAATACCTCGTGATCATGAGACGTCCCCCGTCGCGTGGTCAAGAGACAATACCACGTGACCATGAGACCTCCCCCGTCGCGTGGTCAAGAGACAATACCACGTGACTATGAGACCTCCCCCGTCGCGCCAGCAGTCCCATTTGACGCCATACTCCACGTTAGTTTGTCGGTATTTACATTAGTTTGTCGGCGTGGCACTGGACAACCCAATATCTCTAATTAAAGGAATTTTCCTCGCGGTCCACTGACTCGTTAACATCTTTATATTGACGTAACGAGATCGCGTGACGTTCTTTGATCTGTGGAGTCAGCCGTAGTGCTGCACTATTCGTTCTGCTTTGTTGCCGCCGGAATTGCCATCGAAATTTCCCAGCTTTTGATTATCTACCCTGTTTTACGTATATGACTATCTTACAGTTGCGCGGTTGTCAACGCTGCCGTGAGCCCTTGTTGTTTCTTCGGAACTTACTTCTTGCATACTTGGAGTAATTGTTAGAGTTTTTATGGACAGGGGATCCCCTGTCAAATCAAATTCATTTAAAAAGCCGGCCGAATTTATACAAATATGTTTTGTTGGACACCGTTTAAACAATATGTCGTGAGCCGGGGTTGTTTGAGAGCAGAAACAGCGAGATGATCGTGCTTAACACAGCAGTGAGCAGCCGTTGTAATTACATGTACAATTTGCATGACACATCTCACATTGTGTTCTGAATATATCCACAGTCTTCTCATCATGGCTCCGCTTATGTTCATTAATTATGTTCATTAATTATGCGTGTTATGATCACTTTGATCTTCTCTGCCGGGGTCTGATCTCTGTTATCCATGATCTTGACGTTTCGTTCCAGTGTAATCACGTCTTGCACAGCTTTATATAACTGGAGCTCATTTATCGTAATTTGTCAGTCCTTTTCCGATAGGTGTTGGTAAACAAATCATGTCTGTGTTCTGAAAGATGCTTCATAATACTTTCACAGGTCCGTGTTAAGTTGTTACTCCTTTGTTACTCCTTTGCAGTTTATGCCGGTTCACCTGCCTTTATTTCGTGACTTACCTTTATGCTAGGTGCATTGCAATTGGTGGTTTTGATCGAAAATATCGCCCGAACCCAACCCTGAGTCAAGTGTTGCAGTCCAATTAGTTTGCCAACCACAATAAGCAATTGCTCTTTCAAACGGTGAGGTAATTTGATCTAAGCTCCATCAAATTCCACCAACTTTTAACACGCTTCTCCGCCACATGTTTATTTAGCTATTATACTAGTACAACCTCACTGGTTTCCTGCGCGGCGCCTTAAGATCTGTCCCGCTAGACTGTCTCACATTAGCAGAATCGCAGACAATTCCGCATCATCTGCAGACATTGTCGCATTAGCCGCATCATCTGCAGACAGTGTTGCATTAGCTCTTGCTATCAACGGGGAGACTAGATCATTGAGCTGCTGGTCTGAACAGAAGGATACATATCTTGTTTACTGTGATCCACAGAATTGTTGCCGATATAACTCACCATCTTAACTTCTCTCTCTCTCTCGCTCTTGCTCGAACTTCATTTGATTTATTAGAGGGGAGAGGTGTGTTTGTAGGACAACGAGTTGTGACCCACGATCTGCTGTGAGTGCCGGTTACTTTGTGTAATATTAAGAGGCAGTAAAACTAGTGGGCTCATGCGGTGAATGTTGCTGAAGGATGGCTGATGGATTGTGGTTTGTGATAAATGGGCAGGACTGTTGACCTGAAATCGAAAAATTATTCCTTAATTCTATCCTTGTTTATTTTATTCCGTAGATTGAAATGACTGATGACTCCCGTAGTTATTATTATTAGAGCTGATCTAATTAATGGCTGAGTAGTGAGTATTATAAATAGCTGTTCCACACACAACAGATTGACAGTTCTTTTGACGCTCACTTTTGGGTCAACGTCTTATCACTTTCAGCTTTGTCGGTCGGGTAAAACTACCGAGTTCCCCAACTTTAACAACCTATTTATTCACTGCTTCCAGACTCAATAATGTACCGCCACCCCACTACTGCAGCGTGCCCCAATGTCTGCAATACACCACTTATTGAATGTAACCTAATGCCGACTTGGCAGCGTGCTACCAGCTGCACCACTATCTGAGTGCTGTCTAACTGTACTAATCAGTAACTACCCGGTACCCCACACTACCCACGTCAGTAGTGTAGTGCAGGTGCAGCCTCCCCCCACACACACACACAATGGTATCTCTCTACACTATACTGTACTACTGCAGTGTAGTGCAGGTGCAGCCTCCCCCCACACACACACACAATGGTATCTCACTACACTATACTGTACTACAGTAGTGTAGTGCAGGTGCAGCCTCCCCCCACACACACACACAATGTCTCTCACTACACTATACTGTACTACAGTAGTGTAGTGCAGGTGCAGCCTCCCCCCACACACACACACTGTATCTCACTACACTAGTACAGTACTGCAGTAGTGTAGTGCAGGTGCAGCCTCCCTCCCCCCACACACACACAATGGTATCTCACTACACTATACTGTACTACAGTAGTGTAGTGCAGGTGGAGCCTCCCCCCACACACACACAATGTATCTCACTACACTATACTGTACTACAGTAGTGGTATCTCCTAGTGAGGGGTACTGCTATACTGGGGAGGCTACTACTGGTACGTAGTGCTCTCTCACTCTCCGATCGTTTATTATTATTATCATGAGGGGTTATCCTTCACAGGGCTGTATATTATGTTATAATATAAATCGTGCAGTGTATTATAGTATTCCCAGGGTTATATAGTACTGGCAGTTGGCCCATGTAATTGTGAGTATCCGCATCCGTTTAGTTAGGGTTTCTTAGGACACATCCTCTGTACTTTACATGTGGCTAGCGTTTCCAATGACCAACCTTGTTGCAGCTTTCTTATCATCACAATCTTCATCACCTCAGTAATCTTAGTTCATCGTGGGAGCGTAGATTTTATTTTTAAGTCACGCATATATTCTGCATCACGTACCATCCAGCTAGGGTCTGAGACATAGACCGTTGATACGGAGAGTGACATGTTGAAAATAATCCCAAGCTTTCATTTCCCAAATGACTCGCAATTGCGCTTACTTCCATAATATTAAATCCCTGTATTAGATTGTCTTTCAAATATGACCGTACAATGAGTTGCATCTCCTGCGACAATGCTCCCCCAGTACACCTCGCACGGTTCTTTAGAATCAAGCTGAAAAGCTTCCCAGCACTCCCTAGAGTGCACAAGCATTTTCTTGCAATTAAAAATTGAACCTTCGTTGATTTGATTAAAGTCTATGCTGTTGTTTAGAGGATATTATATGGAGTGTAACACTGTAACTTTGGGTGTTGGCGAGCTTGCTGCTGCGTGAAAATCTCAGCATCTCAAGACCAGACTTTACTCGGCTGAGCTGCGTGTTTGTACAATATCTAGCTACATTTTTTTCTTTCTTCAGAAATGATTTTGAGAAGCAGCCATGCACGTTTTTCTCAGTGTCATTAATTAATTGCGATTCGTTGTTTTATTCAGTTGCGGCCATTTTGTTTGTGAAGTACTCGACTCGTTGATAGATTACCTATAGACTTGTCGATGGCGCAATCTTTAGTTTATGATGACAAATATTTTATCGCGTGTTACGTGGCCTGTTATGCAATATATTCGTGTTCATTTAGCCGATGATACTTATACAGACAGTGATGAATCTTACTTCAGAGTTACAAGTCTTTCCGCTAACTTGTATATAATATAATTTTTGTCAGTAAAAGTTTTGTTCACTCAGTAAAGCCATTGTTCAAAGACCCCCCTCCAAGTAAAAGTATTGTTCACTCCGTGATGGTGGTGACATTATTCACTCTGTACCCCATTTTTTTTCACTGCGTTTTATTGTTGTAATTATTATTTATATTAACTCTACGTAGTCTGTTTTATCGTTTTCAGTAACATAACAACAATATTTCGTTCTCCGTTTTATCGTTGCGACAACATCAACTCCAGGTATACTGTTTTACAACAAGTTAAACCCTATCCCCGTCAGGAAACATGATATTACCAATGTTACATGGAAAGTCCCTCAGAACGGTGCCAGATAATCGCCTGCTGTGACCGCAACACCGCACACCACCTACCTTCACACTTCCAATCAAGTTATTATACATATCTGACCGCTGACACCATAACCGCTGACCCATAACTGATATTTACTTACTAATACTTCTCTCGTCGTTATATCTCATTACCACCTCTCTGCAGCTGCTCCGCATACCACGACCGGATATAAATCAGTTTAGCTCACAGTTTGAGGCTCATTACTGTCAGTACGAATTAGGAATACAGAATGAAAGAAGCGAAGGAGAGACATTTGTTCGAGGAGCATTATCAGATATGTGGGCTGCTGGGTCGGGGAAGGTTCGCCACTGTGTACAAGTGCATGCACAAGGAAACTAAACAATATTTCGCTGCGAAAATCGTGCAGAAGCAGCACCCTCGGGTTGACATGGAGGCATCTATACTGAACTCATTTCGTCATAACAAAAACATAGTGTCTTTATATGAAGTGTATCAAGATTCCCGCGAGTCAGTTCTCATACTGGAGCTGGTGCCCGGTGGGGAGCTTCTGTACATCCTGGGCACAGTTATTTTGACTGAATACGACATGACCCACGTGATAAAACTGCTTTGCTCCACGCTCTATTGTCTACACTACAAACACATCGTCCACATGGATATTAAACCAGAAAACATTCTCATTTGCAATACCCTACACAAGCCCGCTAAACCTGCCATGAGGCTGGTTGACTTTGGTTTCGCTAGAGTTCTCCAAAACAATCGCCCCGGAAATATAGAACCAATCCGGGGGACACCGGAGTTCCTTGCCCCGGAAATGTTGCGTTGCGACGACCTGGACGTGGTGACGACTGCAGTGGACATGTGGTGTGTGGGTGTCACCACCTACATCACCCTCACCGGCATATCACCCTTCCAGGGAGAGACTGCCTGTGAGACCGTGGCTAGGATCCTACACTGCGACTACTACTTAGGAGATGATCTGTTCGGTGGGTACTCACGTGATGCAGTAGACTTTATATCAAAACTCTTAGTGCCCTCACCTCGGGCCAGAATGACAGCTGCGGAGTGTCTCTCTCACCCCTGGCTGTCTAAGAAGAAGCGCTCTAAACAAAGACAATACCCTCTTAGTCAACACGTGCTGTCGAGTGTCCGCGCGGCGCTCTCAGAACGGGTCATTAGCGATAGCATGAGCATGTTGAAACTTAACTTGAGGGAATTGTCACAGTGTAGTGAATCTAATATCAAGCCGTCCACTATTGACCGGAATTACAAAAGTAGTTACAAGTAGGCTGAGAAGAATGTTCTAGCATGTTTTAATATCATAAGTTGTTTTTTTTTTCTTTTTATTCGAGTTTTTGTACAGTTTGAGAATATGAGGATCGTTTTGAATATTGATTATATCTTCAAGTACAACTTTTTGGTTTCATATTCTTTTTTGATGAGTTAAAATGGGGTCGGCCTTTTTTTAAATCACATATCATATTCATGCAGATTATATTAGGACTGTATAAGTATTGAAGCAAGATGAAAACGGAACAATCAAAAAATATGAAGGATAAATTCAGATAATTCTATTTGTGAACGCCATATTCACTTTGGGCTGACAATAAAGGATCCCAGGAAACTGTCGGACGTTTCATTTGTCGTCGAACATAGGCTGAATTTGAGGAGAGCCTTTGTCATTATGACTAACACCGCAATAAGGTGACGTTAGCAGCGACTATAGAGTTCCAAGGTACTCAACAGCATTTGCTGGCAAAGCTTCAGGTCCCACATACCACAAACTGTTACTCAAGGGTTGCTTTAACCAGTAATATGTTGTAACCGCAGGACTCAGTGTAACCTATTGCATTTGCTGGCAAAGCTTCAGGTCCCTCCCGATCGGGATTTTACTTACCGACTCGGATTTATGTCATTTTTACAGAGTTGAAAAATACGTATTTAACGTATTTTATATAATATCAAAAAAACGTTAAATACGGCGTATTTTATTTTCGCTGAATAAAATTCGTTAAAATACGTTACAAGTGATTTTGTAGCATTAAGAGCTCCAATGAAATAATAAGTACTATTTCTATTTATACAAGATAAAAGTTTGATTAAAACTCGCGTAGCTCTCTAGTTTATCACCTCGCGTATGATTTAAGGGAACTGTGCACGTGCTAAAGCGTACCAAAGCGTGCAAATACGAATCATTACGAACCGTAATGACGATGTGTCTGAAAAAATTGCGAACTAAAGACATAACTTATTAAGTTTTTGAATGCAATTACGAAAAAAATAGGCAAACGTATTTTAACGTATTTTTGACGTATTTTATTTCTAAGCAAAAAAACGTTAAAAACGGCGTATTTTAAAAATTATCTCACGTATTTTTCAACTCTGCATTTTTAACGTAAACTTTTCGGAAAAATAAATATGAAAGAATTTTCTTTAAAACATTTATAATCTACAGTGGATTTCATGGGAAGCATAAAATAGAACACATCAAATATATCGTCCCATTGCAATATGATCGTCCGTATTGAAAAGGTAAATTGATTTTAAAGCTAACTAAACCTCGAGTGAAAGAGACATGCACATAGCACTACTGAAAATCTAAAAATAACGTTCATGTGTCTTTCATCACGACATCCTTCGTCTCCTTTTTGACAAACATAGCCATCACAAATCCCATGACTGAAGCAGTAAAGAGAAGTCCTGTCACGATATGAGGGTCCATGTAGTAGAAAATGCTAACACTGCCAGAACCGAGGACGCCACCAATCTTTCCACAACCGGTAATGAAACCTGTGGCAGTAGTTCGGATGTTTGTGTGGAAAGTCTCAGGAAACATTATCCAGAGGATTGCATTAATAAAACCCCCGAAGCTGTTTACTGCTGAGGTGAGCAAAACAGTAACTGTGCTGTTCACACAGAAGAACATAGCAGCTATGACGAACATTAAAACGAAACCCGGAATTCTCAGGGATAGGCGACGTCCCAGAAATGCGGCTGAAACTGTAGCCAAAATATTCCCAAGGACCAATGGGATGGTGCTTATAGCGAGTTTAAATAATTCTTCTTGATCAAGAGGTGAACAGGTCTGTGCGCTGATTGGTTTCTGGACCCCGAACTGCATCCGTTCTTTATAATCAGAGGCTGGTAAAGGATGAAAGCAAACCCAATGAGGACGTTACAAAAATATATTACAGATAGAGTTATCAAAGATCTCCTATGTTGGGAACCAAAAATGACAGAGTATGAACCAAGATCCTTATTTCTTGAGCATGTTAACTTTAAGTCAGATGGGAGATGCTTCTTGTTAAGCTTAGCCATAAATCTAACAGATTGGATTGCTTTATCGTGTTGCCCACTGACCAGAAAATAACGAGGCGAGCCGGGTAGAAAAAATGTCAAAGCTAGTGCAGGAATAAAGGGTAAAGACATTACTATTATAAACCAACGCCAACCTATGTTATTCAACATTAACCATGCAATAAAGTAGACCAATGCAGCAGGTGACGCAGAAATGAAATTAAAGACTGTCATACCAATCAGACGGTCCTTACTTTCAGAGAATTCCGTTGCATAGCAAATTATACAGTTAAAATTAGTTCCAATACAGGCTCCAGTGACACTCCGGAAAACTATGAAGACCCATTTATTTGGAGAAACTGCGCTGGTTATTGTGGCTATAGTCATTACGATCATTGACCATTTAAGGACACATTTTCTTCCAAATGTATCTGAGATCTTTCCAAACGCCATAGCGAAAATCGCGTAGGAGATAAAAACTGACATGCTGACAGCGCCTTCAAATATGGGTGACAACTTCCACTCACATCTTTGGAGCGGGAGTATAACTGAAATTAGAACTATTTCCGCCATGTCGGAAAATGAAAGAAGTCCAGTTACAAGCCAATACAAATGCTGAGCAGGTCCCCGACCTATTATCTTGTACACTTCATCAAGATCCAACTCCTTTTCATCATCGTCCTCAGGTGCTTTTTCAGTTGAGGTGGAGCCGTACTCTTCTTTTTCTTTGTCTATCAATGTTTCTTCCATATCTGTTATATATCAGCTTTAGTTTTTTTAATTATGAAGGAATTTTGGTTTGGGCGTGAAGAATCATATATCATTGCTATTTCTGCAACCCAAGTTCTTAGAACTTCTTTACTTAAAATTGGAGAAGGCAGCGAAACTGCTTCAGTTTCATAGCACATAAACTTTTGTTCATCTTTCATTAACGGCATAAATAGGCGGTCCGTGGCCCTAGAGCGGCGTCCTAAAAAACAGGACAATTCGGCGACGAGATGTGAAAAACAGGACTCGTGGGCAGCCGCAAAAAATACGGAGTTAGGACCATTATAACCCTAATTTATGTTCATACATAATCAAAATCGCAAAGAAATCAATCAAAAATATAAGAACTTTTTGTGGAGTCCGGACCCCCATTCAAACAATAAACATGGTTAATTCAGTAAGTGGTAATATCCCTTAAATCTGTCTTCCATTTTCAAAATTCTAAACCAATTCAACAGCACAATACCGGAGAAGGGAAACAAGAATGAAACGTCACACAGTAACGATGATGGAAAGTTAGAAACTCTTCCTCTCTCGCAACATGAACTAAGAATTGTATACAGACTATACACTCAAGTCTCAACATTGCAATTACGCTTTTCTTTACACCTCATTTAAAAATGATCGGTGACAACATGGTGCTATGACACACTCCAATTTCGGTGTACACATGTTTTCAGTTTACATTTTTACGAGCAAGCACGGCTTCCAAGGTGTTTTGTTGAATGGAAATTAATTGAATTTTTACATCCTGTCTTACCGTAACTCAAATAATCTATAGAGATTGAAAACACCTTGGTAACCGAGTTAACTTGTATAAATGATCATGTTCAAGTACATGTACTGTAAACAATATGTTGACAACTCTTAAGTCCGGCTATATTATTAGCGATAGCATGAGCAATGATCATGTTGAAACTTAACTTGAGGGAATTGTCACAGTGTAGCGAGTCTAACATCAAGCCGTCCACTATTGACCGGAATTACAAAATTAGTTACAAGTAGGCTGAGAAGAATGTTCTAGCATGTTTTAATATCATAAGTTGTTTTTTTTTTTATTCGAGTTTTGTACAGTTTGAGAATATGAGGATCGTTTTGAATATTGATTATAATACCTTCCGGGAATTATATCCACTAAAAGTCTCCGACACTGAGAGCTGATAATTTGCCGATATATCCCGCAAGGGAAGCCAAGGTATTATCAGCATAGACCTCAGACTGGCTGGCGGCAAGGATTAAAATACTATAAATATCTCCGGGATTTCGACGCGGGATCATATTATCACTCAGCCCGGCCCGCTGTTAGATAAACATCTCAAGGTGATATCATCCCGCCCCGGAAATTTGTATAAACCCGGCCCGCTTTTTAGTCGTAACTGATGTTTATCATTCAATTCTCCGACTTACAATAATCAATGATACTGCTGATTAGAACTCGATAATAGTAGAACAGTTAGACGCGCGATCACGTGGGCGCGTCACGTGCGTACCACGTGCCACCAATAGCATACGCCGAGTCTATACCACGTGACACGAAAGCGCACCACGTGATATGAAATATCGTAACCGTCCACTTCTTTTACACGCAAATTCCTGGGAACGTTGCCAAAGCAGCTAATTCTTGGAATTTCTCCAACGCGTGGCGTGAGAAGTTGGCGACTAGCCAGCTACCCTTGTCCGTGCCCTAAAAATAGTATTGTTTTGCTTGCTCTCCTTCCAGCTCTTGTTCCTGCTAACGTTCAAGCTATTGCTCCACTATGACAGATCGGTTTGACATTCAGATTGATGAACTGCTTTCCAATTTTACCATTCTCTTCTAAAGTATAAATCCCTTGTCGAAATCGCCGGAGATAATTATAATCCATAAACACTTCACGCTCAGGGCTAAATAAATGTAATCCCTCAGCTGGCGCTTCGGGATTACATATTAACACAAAACTCGTGCGCTGCGCGCACTTGTATGTGTTTATCAGATCATCCCGCTAGCGCGGGATGATCTGTTATATAAACCCTTTGCGTGGCGGGTTTATGTTATTATAATACCTCCACCACTTCGTGCCCGCGCGTTCCCTCCAGCAAGCTGTCGGGAATTATCGCGCTCAGCACTCAGTGATGGAGGTATCATAGTATTATATCCACCAGTGTGCGCTTTTTCGCATAGCGGGCTCTCACCAGCCCGCTGTCAAAGGGCCCGATATCTCTACAGCCCGCTCATGATATAGCCCGCTAACAAGTGACATTAAATTTGACCAGTAGCAATATAGCCCGGAGTTCTCTAAAATATTTTCATAGCACGGAGATATATATATTTTATTTTTGTGTCCGGTAGGGCTGCTCATGCAGCTCGTGAGCAGATGACAT